ATATATATATATATATACCTAAAATATTTAGAATTATATGTATACCGGTTAATTTGGTTAACCACCAGTTTTCTATATTGGTTAATCGAAACTGAACCGGTACCTTTGGCTTTTTAAAAATACCGAACTGATCAGTTTGGTTAACGAAAATTTCAGTTCGGTTTCCCGGTTTGATTCGGTTTTTCTTGCTTACCCCTAGTTTTTTCTAGGGTGTTAATGGCCTTGAGGCCTATTTGGGTCCAAACAGCATCCTGGGCTTGATAATACATGCCCAGGCCCAGTCCTGGGCCGGGCTAGGCTGGACATCTAGGATGGCCCATATGAATCAACAATATCTATATTTTTAAAAAAGTTAAAGTTCTAATTTAACTTTATAATCAAAATTATAGAAAATATATTTATAAATTTATTGTGTGTGTGTGTGTGTGTGTATATATATATATATATATATATATATATATATTATTTCTGGGTTGGGCCTAGAGCTTGCTTGGCCTGGGCCTGGACTTGGCTTGCATTCTGTGGGGGCCTGGAAATTTGCGGGTCGAGCAGGCTGGGCTGTGTCATAAATGATCATCCCTAATATATGTACATACATATGAAAAAAGTTCACTAATTGGGTCAAATAGTGAACATCCCCATACTACCAACCCTATTTCTACTACCATGTGGTGGGATCTTGTGGTCAATCGAGATTGTCCATCAGATAGAGGACTCACTGGCTGGCCATATGTTCAATCCCACAGTCCATATCAGTCCACTCAATACTGATTTTTATTTTTTTTTGTTTTTTTGATAAATGGTGTTTGTAAGCTCTACACTGAAAATTGAAGCTCATAAAAATGGGCATAAAATCCATTTGAAGCGCTCAATACTGTTTTTTTTTTTTTTTTGATAAATGGTACTTGTAAGCTCTACACTGAAAATTGAAGTGCATAACATGGGCATAAAACCCTTTTGAAGATTGAAGCGCTCATGTAACACTGCCACCGTGACATCACTATTTTGGACTTTAATTTCCATCAAAACCTAATAGCAACCCAGGCAACTCTAGTTTTCTAATTGCTGATGCTTATATTTAGTATTAATGGGGCCTTCTTCCAAATTTTCCTAGAGAATTTGCACTTAGATTACATTCATATTTCATGTTTCATACCCATGCATACATTCATATATCTTCATACTTATCAAAGTAACATTCAAATATCTTCATGGTAACAGATCAAAGCACATTTTTCCATGGTCTACAATTCTCATTCCTATAGTGTTTTGCTTGATACAAGAACCTCCTGTAGTTAGAGAACAGCAGAAAATGTTCCTAGGTATCCTGCCAACAAATCACACAGATTATCCCATCACTTTCTGTCCGATTTTGGATATTCTTCCAGTTTAAAGTGACTCTTTGCAACACAATCTTCATTCCCTCTTAAATGGTTAATCTTACCTTTATGAGCTTCTCCCAAATGTCATCTGTGCATATAAAGGTTGCAGATGGAAGGTTCGTCAGTTCCACTCAAATCATTTAGGATGAAATATCTGATCTGATTTCTCCTTTTCATCATTAGATCAATTCACAGTTCAATTCATTTCAACTATTTGCAGCTGATTTCCATAATTGGAGAAAGCTGATCCATTTTGGGACCATGGTTTGAACACATATTTGTAGAACATCAATCAAAACTTTGTCAGGAATCTTGACTACATCATTCTCATGCATATGGCCCTTAATTTTGGGACCATGGTTTAAACACAAATTTCTAGAACATCAATCAATACTTTGTCAGGAATATTGACAATACTCCATCATTCTCATGCATATGGCCCTTAATTTTGTATTCTGCCATATTTTGTACTTTAGGCACATACAGGACACCCACTTTGCACAAAATCAGTCCTTAGAAGCAATTTTGCAAAGCAACTTTACAAATTCAGCAGCATTCCAGTTTTAACAATTATCATCATCGTTATCTAAGCCTTACCAACTATATGGGGTTGGCTACATGAATCCTGTCACCATTCCATTCTGTTTAATGCATTCTAGTTTAACAATCAATAAAAGAAATCAGCAGCATTCCAGTCCTTTAAAGAATGAGGAAAAGTCCACATTCATGTAATAGCAAAACAGACTTCACCAACAGATTGCATGAAATTCTC